TTCCTTCTGCTTAGTAAGCTGCAAAGAGAATTTTAGCCTGATTGCACTACTTGCATCTTTTATTATGGAAATAAATTAATATTTATATTAATTGTATCATACTATAGACATATAAATGCATTATAAATTACAACTGCTCGATAACTTGTTTTGGGAAACATTGTTTATTATAACAATAAAGGTTTAACTTCTACATTACTAGTTATGAAGTTTTCTTGGCTACATGTTGAATTCATTCATATACCATTTCATTTGTTCTGTATTATTACAGTATTTGATTAGAAAGATCCCAGAGCATGTGGCTGAGTTGCATCTCACTTGTTACACTATTTAACTCCGTTGACTTGCACAAATAAATTCCTCATTTTTCTGACAAGCCCTGCATAGCTACAGCACCAGGGTAAACAAGGCACAGGATAAGATGGAAGAGAGAGGAGATGTTGGCATGCAAAACAAGGCAAGCTTAACATGCACACAGAAAGTGCCAGGGGGGCTGGAGTGCTCATCCAGCACAGCTATCTGAAAGTCCCAGCCTGAAAATGCAGGATCTCATTCGGTTTGCTTAGAAATGACAGGCTGAATGAGCACTGCTAGGTTTCAAATATGTCATCACTGGAAGTCTTAAGGATTTCTGACAGGGAGTTCAGCACACAGTGCACTGCCCCACCTTGCTTTATAATTGTGGATAGTGCTGTGCTGTCATGGTGGGAGAGTTGTGATAGCTGTTTGTAACATTGTCCACTGTGGCATTGTTATGTGAAGTACAGCAACAACAGCATTTTTTACTGAAGAAAAAAGCAGAGCAAAGTGTTGTTATACTAATGATTTTTAAAGATGTATTAATGTGTTGAAGAAGGTGCAGAGACTTAGAGCCCATAAGTTTCTGGGGTTTACCTTCTGGAGAGAGGTAAGAGCTCAAAATCATCCTGACTGACATGGGCCTGTTTCAAATACTTTTCTCATTAGTTTTTACCTTATAACTGCCCAGAGACATTTATAGGGTTTGAGTTCAGGTTTCTATACCCTGTTAGGTTCTTCCTGTCTCTTTTTTTTCCTCTTTTCTTTTTATCTGTTTTTGGCCCCTGATCTAAAGGAAATTGGAGAGGACGGAGGTAGGGAAGAGATGGGACAGAACTCTGTTTCACAGTTGTTCTTTTTTTTACAAGTTAAAGCTCACAAAAGAAACCTGAATGTGTCTCCATCTTGTAAGCATCTGTGCCACCACTACAAGCCCACAGATCAAAAGGTTATTTGAGGAAGTAGCTGGGCGTCTTTGTATGTATTTTAGGGCTCCCTTCTTCCTTTTATTTTATTTTATTTTAATACAAAATTAAGGACAGTCCAACATGTTGCCCATAAGAGTTCTGTTACAGGTAATTAAATGTAAGTTTACACATTTAATCTACTTTTAAGAGCAAGAGAGACTGGTAAATGACCCAGTTAAGGAAAGTACTCAGCCTAATTGGATGTAATGATTGCTTGCTGGTGTTTATTACTGTACTAAGAGTAGACATATAGTCTGTGATTCTAATTTGGTTTAAAGACAGACCTGTAGTATTTGCAGCTATCATCAGGGTTCGATTGTTTCAGTTACCATCATGAAATAGGCTTATGTTCATCTGGGAGCTTAAATGTATTAGAATGGAAGGAGCACTGTTTTTTCAGTTAATGTTGCTCTCCAGATATTATCTCTCTGGACTGTTTTACCTACAAAAATACCTTAAGCTGGATATGCTATTGCATATTTTCACCTCAGGAAAATTTCACATCTTCATGTACATAATCTGAAAAATTAATTATAGCTAAATTTACCAGCGAGCAGATTCTTTCTGATTTATCTGTGAATATTGTCTTCAGCCTATGGAATCACCACATTAATGTTTGATTTTGATTATTTCCATATCATTCTAAACTAATGTAAAATCATGGAGAGTTGAATCAAAGACCCAAAATGTTATATTTCATTAATGCTTGTTACCAAAGCTTTCATACTTATAGACACTTCGGTACATTTTGCACTCATAATTCTGGGCTTCCAGGAAATGATATCCTAGTGGAATGTGTTGTATCCCAGGGTGTTTACCACAGAAGATATTTGTTGCTTAAAAATAGAACGCTGGATTTTATGCCCAGAGGAGCAACACTCTGACTTCGAAACACTTATGTAATTATTCTTTATTTCATAACTCTCAGAATGATAAATGAAATCAGAACTGACTTTGAAGAGTAGGACCACTGATGACTACCTCAGCCAAGGTGTCTCAATGCTCACTGTGATGGATTTGGGATTTTTATAACATAATAGATCACATACAAAAATGAAGTGAAAGCAACACTGAACTCACAAATGCGAGGATGTTCAGAATGGAGACTTTAGCTTCATCTTCATTCACCCTGCTGTGCCTAGTTGTTAGAAAACACCAATCAGTAAGAGATGTTAGCTATTTTTATGCTATTACACAGGTACAGCAAGGTAATCTAATGGCAGCTTTAATTCTATCTGACTTTGTTTATTGTGAAGGAAAGAAAAAAACAACCCACCTCAGTATTATTTTGTTATATCTTTCAATATGTATTATTGTTAAGTATAGTTTAGTAGACTCTACTGTTAGAGAAAGATACTGTCCCTATTGGATGTGTGCAGATGGTAATATCTTTACAGTGTCATACATGCTCCAAAGCCAAGCTGGCTCCTTCTGAAAGTTCAGTACTTAAAAATATGAGATTATTGCTCCTCTTGAAAACTTATAAAGTTCTAAGGCAGAATGTATGACCCAGGTAGAGATGGGAAACTGGGATCAGGGGGGAAAAAAAAAATTGTTCTTGTATCAACTGAATTCTTTGATGTATTTGGGGTTTTAGACTAGCTCAGTTACATACAGCTTAGCTCAGTTATGTTTTAGGCTAGCTCAATTACACCTACTACAGAAAGAACAAGATAAGAGCTCATAGTGCAATACTTACCTGCAAGTACTAGAGGGAGCTGAGGGAAGGAATCAAGATGGAGTAAATGAAAGGAGGAAGATGATAGAATTCTTATTTGTGTTTGTTTGCCTGGACAGACTCTTATTTCACGCCAAGCCCCATTTACAACATTAAGTATAACGTGTGTACCCAAACACATACATTTGTATGCACATGCAAGTGTCTGCTGTGTATTTAACACACAACGTGTGTGTGTGTGCCCATGCACACTTGGGAAGGAAGCAGGTTAGTTTATTACAATATGTCTTCAACAGAGTTACTATTTTGTTCATTGTTTTAGTATTATCCAGAGCAAATCATATATACCTTCTTACAAAATGGATAAATACACTCTGCTTGTCTGGCAGGGTTTAATGTAAGACCTCACTTTCTAGATTTCCAATTCAAATGAATCCTGTTAAAATTACTGAAAAACACTGCTTTTGAAGACTATCTTAAGAGTACAACAAAGCATTGAAGCACATTTCTAAATAGCTTTCTTAACAGAATAGAGAGTAGGATGCACTGAGATCTGACTGAAACGTGTTCTTTAATTGGAATATTCATCTTGTGTTCTTCATTACCCTTTTTTCTTTGCCTCTCATGGATGGTTGTTGCTAATGCTCCCCTCCCCTCCTGGTGGGCCAGCCAACAGTTCCCTCTGGAGGCAGCATCATTATATCTGCCTGGTTCACTTAGTAGCAGATGGTGAAGAGCAGTAGAGCTGATACACTGCATTTCACAGAAACCAGGATCCTTCTGGTACCTCTGCAGCACACACAGACTTGTCTGATTTGAGACTGTGAATTCTTTATGTGCCTCCCAAACTAGGTTTCCTTATTTGCTACTGTGTACAGCAGTGTAAGAGTGATTTTCATGATCTGCTCTGTTGCTGGACACTGAAGAAACTACTCATCTCCAGCTTTCAGCTACGGGAGGATCTATTTCTCACTTCATTTCTATTTTCACTGAAAATTAAAAGAAAACAGCTTTGATGGTTTTCATTTTCACTGTTTGACAGGCTTTTCTTCCCCCTCCCCTATTTTTAATTCCTACTGTCTGCCAAAGGACAATCTGTTTGCTCTGAGACAGTTTAATGCATACTGACTACCAGAGGCAGAACTTCCATTGGCTCTGTTACAGGGGTAATTTACACTTTAACAAGGTATTGTGACAAGGTGGTAATTATATTTTTATCACGTCATTATGACATTACCACCTGGAAAGCCATAGCTGATTAATTAGTGGCATATATTAAATTTATAGCCCTAGAACTCTAAAGTTATCATACCTAAGTGGTGTAATTATGTTGAACTGTGGTGTGGCAGTGAATTGGAGGTGAAGATTCTGAGTATCCACCTATTGTAATAGGTTTAACGAGTGCCAGTAGAGGGCAGGGAGCTGCAGAGAAGGAAATTTTTTTCAAAAAAAGAAATACTAAGGAAGAGGGTGAAGTCATTGAAATCTTGAAATCAAATCTAGTCAGATGGCAAGTTGCAAGGCTTCTGACATATATGTGCTTTTTAAAACATCTAATTTGAGAGCCCTCTGATTTACACTAGTTCCTGCGTTTTATTTCACAGCTTTATTTTAGTTAATTCACGTGTATTTTGGTTTTCATAATGCAGCAATTTCTAATTTTCAGAGGCTTGGACTGGCCAGTTTGGAGGCTATGTCACCTCTCTGCAACTAACAGGAAGCACTGGTTTTGGCAGGATGGATTTTTCTTAGTCTGGTTCATGCACCCAGGTGTTCTGTGTTGTTCCTCCTGATTTACTTTTTTATTGCCCTTAATATTAGGAGATAAAGAAAATAAATTTGTCTGGAAATAATTAATGAAAATGTCCACAACAAATAGTTTGATCCAATGTGTTCCTGTGTCCAGAGAGAATTATAAACCAAATTTATTTTTATCAGAATTATTGTGTTAAAAGTCAGAGCATCAGTTTTGAATTGTACTGATTTTTGGTGTTTGTTGTGCTTTTCAAAGTCATATTTCCAAATAACTCATGTTCTATTCTCCCCTTTCACTATAGAAAATGAAGTGACAACTTTCCCTGTGTTGGTGAGTGATCAGAGTGAAATCGTGGATACCAATGGAGCTGGGGATGCATTTGTTGGAGGTATTTCTTAGTGCTTTCTCATTTGGAGATTATTGTATTATTCTCTGTGTATAAAATGTATCATTTTTTAATTGTACTGTCCTTCAGAATGTTTCATTCTTGTACAGCTTTTCTCTGCATCCTGAAGTTACATGATTTAATTAAGTTCTGATTTTCAAAGGGAAAGTGTGTTCTATTACTTTAAAAATAATATGCTATTATGCTGTACTTTGGTCATTTTCATGAGATTAATCGTTTCTGTCAGACTGTTGCATAAACAAGCCTCATCAAGTACTATATAGTGTACAGAAATCCCTCCTGGCTTAAATGTTAACACATTGTTGTTCTTTAAAACAGGTTGTAGCGAATATTAAACAGTATGTTAATAAGTGAGCATAATATCTTCTGATTGTGTCAATTGTGGTAGAACATCTGCTTCCAATACAATTATTTGGACATCAGAAAAGAACATAAAGGGTTAATTTGTTAAAACAAACCCAGAAAATATCTGGCATTGCTTAATATCCATTTGCAAACTTACTATTTTTTTTGGCACAAGCTCTAAGGAAAAAAGAGGATGTTATGTCTATGCCTGTTTTGAAAAATGATTCAGTATAAGCCAAAAACTGATCTAATCCAAAAGTTCTGTCATTCATTGCAACCTTCATACATGTAGTTCTGTGATGCACTATTGCATCCTGAAGGCTCTAATAACCAGTACATAGCAGGAGCTCCATTAGTCACTAATTTACTGGAAACAATACCAAAGAGACTTTATAAATAGAATTGCAGGGCTCAGTCTTGTAGCTATGAAGGGGATAACAAGCAGTGTGTTGCCACATTAAAGGTTCAGAATTGTGTCCTGCTTCAAGAAAGTATTCAACATAAGCTTAATCTTAAGCATGTGAGTAATTCTCTCCTTAATACGCCACTTAAACCAATGATAAATTTTCAGTATGTGCTTAAATCTGGCTGAAAATAGGAATGCTGTTACTCATTGCTGTGCTGCTTTTGTGAATCAAAAAGGACAGAAATAGAAGGAAACACATTAGGTCACATTATTCATACACCTTTTAGTGCACACTTGTCACTCTGTACTGTTCCCAAATCACAAAAAAAAAAAAGACTAAATTTGACAGAGTAAGTAACAGTGACTATAACATAACATAAATAAGATCTTCTTTAAGTGCTTGTCCTTGTCTACATGTGCTCTGTGCATCAGATGTGCCAGTAAGCTGCTGTTCTTTTTTGGGGGGAAAGAGGAAAAAAAAAAAGGAAAAAAAAACCAAAAAAACCACACTGCACAAACAAAACATCCTGAAAATAAAATCATACTGGGTAGGGCCCAGGTGGGCAGTATGGTAGAATGGTAGACACCAACCAAGCTTTGCCCCAGCAGGAAGCAGCTTTTCATGTGTCTGCCGTGTTTGTCTCAGATTGTAGTCACTCCCAGTTCTTCAGTTTTTAGGCATTTTAAAATCAGGACTTTTTTTAAATAATCATATTTTTGTCCTATTTTAGCTGCAGGAAGACTATTGCAACTAAATAGGCTTTAAGAACTGTCTGATCTCTCATAACCCTTCCTCTTTAAATTATATCCTTTTCCCTGGTACTGCCATAGATGCTCTTTTTCTGTAGAAGGATTAAAATGTTGACCTGAGTAATTATTCAGAACATCCTGAATGGAGAGGCTCATATAAGCCACATCAGACTCTGTTCCAAATACCTACCTTCCACCAGCAGTGTGAGTTCAGGCCCATCCTGTCAGGCTGG